TAATCAGCTTCATCAATCTCACCTGACACAACCATATCCATATAGACCATGTTCTGTATGGAGTTGAAGTCGAACTTGCCGCCGTTCTTAGCATCATTCTCCTTGATTTCCTGCGCCAACCTATCCTGAACATCAGGGTTCATAGCCAGCTCGTAGAGAAGGAAGGACATTCCTGATGATACGGTCTCAAAACCGGCTATGAAGAACAGTACTGCTTGTGCTACGAGGTCCTCGTCAGTCCATACTAGAATTAAATCGTTATAATTAAAATTATGCTCTAATACATTATTAATCGTTTTGTGATAAAGTTCTGGTGGTGATATTACTGGTCTTTTTTAAATTCGTCAATTAAAGTACTTATAATCGTCATTTTAATTTCTTCCTGTTAGGTATCAGATTTAACCAAATATGAATTATTTTTAAAACGTTACCCTACACTAGGAATTTTTCCTGTGCCGTTTACACATACACATGACGCTCAGACCCGAAACAACAATTTTTGGATCACACAAAGAGTTCCTCCGTGCGGGAATCGAGCCCGCTACACGTAGTGCGCCAGCCGGTTTCTCAGCTACCGCGCCAACCGTGTAGTCTGTGCGGTATAGTTTTAATTTCTTGCTATTTTCAGATTTAACCGAATATGAATATTTTATCATCCGTTTTCTTAGTTATCTACAACTTGTATTAACACCGTTTGTCATTTAACTAACACGACAAGGTTATAAAAGATGTAAAAAAAAGTTCGAATACAGTTTTTTAATACATACCTCTATTAATTTCTTTCTGTCCGACAGCTGATTCTTCTACAGTCGCAAATCCAGCTGCTAAATCATTGGATTTGATTTCATCATGAGTCAGTTTGCCTGTAATTTACAAGTCATTACTAATTTTATCTTTGGAATCATCAATATTATGTTAATTATTATCATTTCATATTTTCTTATGTCTACCTTTCTTAGCTTCCATCAACAAATGAATCATGTCGGGTCTGATGATCTTCTTTAACTCTCGGTTTTCCATTGTACCAAGTACCAGCTTCTTGAACGCCTCCTTTGATGACTCCGAGAGGAAATCCAACTTTAATAACTGTGGGATAAAGCAGAAATTACATTAAAACATAATCATGATTCGTGATCGTGAACTGATATGGTAGACTTTATCACAATTACATAGAGATTATTTTCCGCCATTTTTAAATATAATAATATGTTGTACTTAGTGTTATCTTTTATCAAATCATTATTATGCAATTACCTATTACATGTGACCGGTAGTTTAAATTTCAATTGCGTCGGTCGCACACATAGTTTGTGCCGCGGCAAAATGACCTTGAACTTTGAGTTGTGTGTATAGAATACATTATTGAATGAATGACTGAATGTTGACGTGTTGATCATAATATTTATATTTTTAATTTAATTGTCATTGACATAGATGTGAAAATTGCTTTCCACGGATTAATTGTTATTGCTTTCAACGAAATTAACGAAAAGTGTCGCAGGTTCGATTCCCGCACGGAACTACTCTTTGTGTGATCCACAGATTGTTGTTCCGGGACTGGGTGTCATGTGTATGTGAACTAGTATGTTTGTAAAAGCACCCACGACACAAGAGAAAATCCTTTTGTACGGAAACGTATATCTAACAAAAAAAATAATCAAAATTTTGAATTAATTCATCTGAATTTTTTTTGGTAGTCTGACTATCATTCCTAATGGTTTGTCAGTATTATAAACCATTATGTACCAGTAGTATGATAAACCATTGACAAAAAATGATTTTGAAAGTAAAGCTCTATTTTTTGTACCCATGACTAGACAGCTTGTTATAAACGGCCGTGAGACTAGAGCGGCAAGAAAAATTTAATAATTTTTTTTTCCAGTTTTGATATCTGTTGACATATAAACAATCAGACTGTCCACATTACATGTAGACATTGTTACATGTATGTTTAGTCTGTATTAACATCACTAATTAGTGAGTAGTGGCCCCCTCACTATAATGTGTTATATCAGGTAGGACACTCGTCAGTAACGGTGCTATCTCCCTGTCATACTCTGGTGTGTGTACAAGTCGTGCGCCCTGCACATTATTGTAATAAATACGACTATAATTTGATAATCCACCAACATAACAGACAATGTGTACGTATTTGATAAGGCTGTCTACCTCTACTAACAAAGAGGCGATGTTATCTTCTTTTGGCTTCACCGTCATAATACTAAGATTATCGATTTTATTTTATCTTTTCACACCAAATTGTTTGTTGATAACTCAGTTTAAAGTATTACATTGATAAATTGATTTTATTGTATTTGTTTGTTTATAAATACCAATAGCTATGGCATTTTTACGATATCGCCGGGGATAGTGCAAATCCGCGGATTTACAAAACGTAAAGGTGAATACAATAGGTAAAGGTACGCGTGTCTGCAATAGATCTAGTTGTACAGGGGAAAGTTAAAACTAAATAACTTTATTGATTCAATACATACTTTTTTAAAAAGAGTAGCGAATGGAGTTTCTTGCTCGATCTTCTCCATTCGAATCTACATTTTGGAATGAGCACCTAGGTTCACTAACGGGCTGACTGACAGACTATTATTTATTTTATATTTGTTGTCGTTTCAAAAGTACCAAATTATGGTTTAATTGAAATAAATGCTTTGACAATGATTTTGAAGCTAATTTTTACATATTAAAAATAAGTCGAAGTGAACTCGTTTCAAAGCATAGCGGCCGATTAGGATTTTGGGGGATTTGTTCGCGAAAACTTGAATTAGCTACATTTGTCAGATAGGCCGAATTAGGTATCCGATGTATAGGTAATATGATATCGATTCCGTGGATTTGCACTCTCACTATCAACTCGTTTTCAATACGTAAATTATGATAATCTCATGGCGTCGCAAGTCAAACTTGTTATTATAAAATAAGAATTTAAATAGATTTAAAAACATGTTACTAATAATAAAATCTCGTCTCGAAACGTAAATATCATTTTAATGTGTAAATATTTTTAATACGGTGTTAATTTAGAGGGCTCGTACATAAAAATGCGATGGGATGCGATGCGAATTCGCAATGCAGAAAATTACAAGACGTATTGCTGCGATGCGCATTCGTGCAACAAGGCGTTCCCCAGGGTGACCAATGACCAATGACCATTCCTTCGACGACCGTCAACCGTACTAAACGTATTTTAAATTGAAAACTAAGTCGTGATATGGATCGTGAAAAGAAGTGAGCGCTTTTGTTATTGCTAGAAGATACAGGAAAAAGAAACAAACAAGATTTTGGGAAGATGATGCGCGATGCGATTGCTATGCGTAGAGGGAGCTCGTACATTTTTGCGATGCTACGTCACATCGCAGTTTTGTGTACGAGCCATTAGGGATCTACACTTTGAAATAAGTCATTATTATCTACACGAACTATTAAATAATTTTCCCCCATATAGAGGTCAACATAAGATGTCCAAATATCAATGTACTTATACTAATTGAACGATTGAAACCACTTTTTACTTTATTAACTTAACTAAAATTCAAAACTGATCATTTGAGTTTAATCGAAATAAAGTATTGACTGTACCTTGGCTAAAGCTGGTGCATTAATCAGCAAGAAGAAGGTCATCATCTGTCGAAAATTGAACGAGGAGGTCTCCTTGCCCAGCGCATAGAAAGTGTTGTTCTTGTCATTGTGCGAGTCCACCTTCAGACCGAAGGCACAGGACGCAATCACATCGTTAGCATAGCGGGTTGTCAGGTCCTTGCATTCT